GGTCTGGGGAGGGGTCCTCTGAGCTCCCCGGTGTCACCGCTTCAAACAGGCCTGGCCCCCCGGTGTCACCCCTGCAAACAGTCTCGGCCCTCTGTCCTGTGCTCGGTGCGGGCTTATTTCTGTCTTCATCCTCTGTGAAACCGGTGGTTTTCTCCCCTGAATGACCTGACTCCTCACAGGGCCGTCATCACGGGGTATTATCTGTCTTCATCCTCCTTTTTTACTGTGCTTAAGATTGTGCCTGTTCCTTTTTGATAGTGCTGTGTCTTATCTGTGGAAAAAAAGTCTTTAGAGAGAAGTTTGGCTGGTGATGGAAGGGGGTAGGAAGGGTTTTGTTTGAAGTAAGAACTAAAACAGAGTAGGTGATGACTGGACTTTGCATTTGTGGGCTTGTATGTCTGTGTATTCATGTGTGCCGTGGCTAAATGTGGTCCAGTTGGTATACGGAGTCATAACTCTGAAGAGAAGTCTGCAAGTGCAGGACACCTAAAAAGCATCTCTGAACAAATTGGCAGGCTGTCGGACGTTTGTGTATGTGTTTTGTGACTTCACAGCTTTTCATTTTAAAAAAGTATTTCAGGGAAAGATGAGCTTTCCTTTACCATTTCTTACATCGTAGCAGTTAATGCTCGAATACTCTCAGACTATGCACATTAAAAACTCTTATGCTTCTCCCTGAATTATTTTAATGCTGATCACAGATGCAGAGTTTGGAATTATAGTGTCTTAATTTCCTTTATCTGCTGAAGGAGGGGAGCTTTAAGGTTGCTAGTGCCAAGGGCCAGCAGTGTGTGTACCCCATCTCCTTAACATAGCTCATGAAGGTAACTGTTACAGCAATGGTCCTTCTCGTTTCACCAGAGTTGGGCTCATACTTTTTAATCTTACAGATGATTCTCAGTAGGGTAATGGCTTGCAGAACTGATTTTAGCATGGCTTGAATTGGGGATTACTCAAGACTAGAAAAGGTGTGCAGGATAGTATGCCTAAGTTGTGATGAGTAGCACTTATGGGACTGCAAGAAAATAAATGCTGTATTCTTCTAGAAGGGCATAGGTCACTGATAAAAGCTGCTTATCTGCAAATCGGGGGAATTACTGAATCTGATAAAGTAGTTTGATTTACACATATTGTCCAGTTGAAAGTCTTCAGCTGGGTAAGGAGTTTTGTTTACGAAGATTACCATATGATTGGAAATCTCTCCTTCAGTAAAGGAATAAACTAAATTAGAAATGTTATTGGTGGAAAACAGTTATGATTCCTCGCCTTCTGTTAATGGAAATTAATTTGTAGCAAACTTAATAGTTAATAAATAGCCTGGATTTGTTACATTCTCTGACTTCTGACACAATTGAGAAGATGTAGCATTGCTGCTGTTACCTAAATCTAGGCAATGTAATAATGACTAGAATTTTGGTTGTACCTGAAAAACAACCTAAAAATCTGGTTCCAGATAAGAGTTAATTTTTAATTTGTCTTCGTACTTTTGTTTTCTGGATTTGAAATTGTCAGTTAAAGTTTGACATTTAGTTCTTTCTGCTTTTATTTTTAGGAAAGAGAGCTGAAAATCTGCTCTCACATTTAGCTCTCTATATATAATTTTCTTGCTGCAAGGTTAAGATTTCTCATATGTTAGTTTATTATTTTAAAATGCCCTAACTGGCTGTCCGTTCCCAGTATCTTTTCCAACTGATAAATTCTTCCAATACTTTTATATGGGAAAGCTTAAGAAACTTCCATTGCTTTCTGTCATTCTGGATTAAAAGCTACGTGAAGGCAGTTTAGTCATCTGAAGAGAAGTCCTCTAATAATTTGTGCATTTTTCTTATGATCTGTGGATTCTTGTTTTAGCACACTTCATGGAATAGGTCTAGGACATCAATAATGGTTGTTTTTTTTTTTTTTCTTTCCCCCCCCCCCCCCGCCTCTTGTAGTGTCGACTTTGATGAAATTATCTGAAAGGTCCATGGAAAGTGGATTTAAAAAGCGCACTATGTATACCTTAAGACCTTGTTATTGCTGGTCTGAAAATATGCTAAAATTTTATTTAGAAAATAGTCAAAGACTTGCTTCTAACATATGGTGTGGATGTTCTGGGTACTTGATTTATGTGTTAACTGGAACAAGTGTGTTTAGATAAATTATCAGATAATGTGTGATAACTAACTCTTTCTGCAAAAGAATGCATGGCACACATCTTGATAATGGTGGTGTTTTTTCTTCTCTTTTTGTCTCCTAGGAATGGGTCTGCTTTCAGAAGATGCAATGCATTAGATGTGGTGCTTGGAACAGGATTAGTCATGGCATCAGAACTGTGTAAAACAATCTCTGAGGCAAAGCTGGAAAGGCACAAGAACTTGTTCTTAAATTACCGAAATCTCCATCACTTTCCTTTGGAGTTACTGAAAGATGAGGGGCTGCAGTACTTGGAGAGACTTTATATGAAAAGAAATTCCCTGACCACATTGGTACGACAACCTCTTTCTTGTGATGTTTACTGTCTGTACGTTTAGGAATTCTGATTTTCGGAACAGAAAAAGCAAGATAATTTAAAATAATAGTCTTGTAGCAAATCTGATCCTGAGTGATGTCATCCATTGTGAAATATGAGTATCTGGTTGTATTATATTTGAACTTTAGCTAATGTAGAGTATAATAAATGAAAGTTTATGACATTTTATGGTTACCCTTTTGAAGCTCTGTCAAGATCTGGTGGGGTTTTTTTGTGAGGTTTGTTGTTTGGGGTTTTTTTAACTGCCATGTATTTTGCTCACGTACTGGTCAGGCTTTGACACTATGCAAGTCTAGCCTACATTCCTTCGTTAGGCTAAACAACTTTTACCTTGGGGTGTGCCTTATTTTAAAGGTGTCATCAATCCCAGGGTCTAACTCAAAGCTTGCTGTTAAGGTACCGGTGAACTTGTGCCTATGGGCTGCTGTTGATAGGAGAACAAACAGTGAATTTCAAGGTTGTGGGATTTTCTGTTGTGGGGTTTTTTGTTTTGTTGTTTCTCCCTGAACTGAATAAGTTCTCATCCTGAATGAATGTTGTGACTTCAGAATTCAGTGTGGGCTAGGTAAATAACTGTGAGAGAGTCTCAGCTGGTGAGACTCACTGTAGAGAGTCAAAACTTGCCACTGTCAGTAGTCTCAAGTCTCCAAGTAATTAAGGTGGTTTTTTTTTTTTGTTTGATGGGTGTTTTGTTTTTTTTTTTTTCTTGGGGTCTTCCATGGTATGGTAGGTAAAATAATAACCAGATCAGAAGAGCTGGAGGGCCTGACTACTTAAAATTCAGCAAAATTGTGTGTTTTTCAGTGCTTCCTAGAAAAAGTCCAGTACTCCAGTTTAAGGAATAGTGCTTAAAACTTTGAGAATGATACCTTAGAATTCCTCAATAAAGGTTTCACTTTTGGGGCCAAAAGCTGAAAGGACTCTGAAGGTTTTATGCCTTTTCTTCATCTCAAATGAGTCACTTAAGTTTGCACGTACTGTAGAGAATTATTTTGGCACTTCTTGGGTTTGGGCAAGTCCTTTGCTTAATAATGTAATGGGAGAATAGGTTTCATTAAATTAAAGCTGCTTTAAAAATTAACCAAAGACTGTAAACAGTTCTGCTTTGACACTTTGAAATTCAGTGGTTGTTTAGTGGTGTAAGGTTCACGAAGTTTGTACTGCTCAAAAGATGAAAGAGTAATGAGAGTTTTGCATATTACTTTTGTGCATGTATGTGTTAGAGCCTGGTTTTGTTCTTCTCAAAGCAATTGTAAAGTAGAAACCAAACAAAGTCTCTCAAGTAACAGTTTAGTTCCATTTTCCCCTTGATACCTGTTGATACCACCAGCCGATAGATGTGTAAGATGGCACAAGAGTAATGACCCCTGGTTACTGCCGACAGAAGTATCAAATGAGGGAGGCAATTCTTGCCCAATACTGTTCGGTGTTGTGATTGAGGCCCGGGATAAAGGAACTGAAACAATACTTAAAATGTAGATCATACCTAGGTAGGTCATACCTGGGCAAAACGACTTGCATACAGTGTGAAGCAGAGCATTAGGATTCAAAACGATCAGGATAATGTCACTTGGTGGAATCTCATTCAAGTACAAAGCGCTAGCTGCGGCCTAGGCAAACAAAATTGGGTCTAATTCACTGAGCATCTGTTCAGCAGAATAGATGCTGAAAGTTGTAGTGGACCAAAATAGATCAAGTCAGCAGCATATTACAAAAAAGGCAGATGTCTTTTTGGAACAGAAGGTTTCACAATCTCCATTAAAAGCAGAAAGGAATAATTACTGGATACTGTTAAAGCATGAGCTGGAGCAAAGGTTGGGTCTGGGGTTTCAGGCTTATGAACAGCTTAGTTAAATTTGAAAGAATCTAGAAAGTAGCAACAATAGATTTTAAGAGAACATGCCCTGTGAGGGAAGGTTGAGAGATTTTGGTTAATTCTGCTTGCCAAAAGAGAAGACAGAGGAAGAAAAAAAGTAAAGAGGAGGAAAGGGTGAGAGCAGAAGTCGTCAGTATTTTTAGGAAGCAGTATTTTTGTAATGAATTTGTTTTGCTGGTAGGACAAGTAATACTCTCAGTGTCAGTAAAGTAGTAGTAAATTAGGTACACGGGGCAGGGGAGGGAATCTCATTGAGAATAGTTGAAAACAAATAGGCTATTGAAGGAATCTATATTCCTTTTGCTGAGACTTTTTGAAAGAGAAAATGTACCAATTTCTTTGAGGGGTAATCCTGTGTAAGAGTAGTTTTAATATCTCTCTCAACCTTGTGTACCTTTGATTCTATGCAAGATGATAAGCGTTAGCTCATCAATAAGTACTTTAAATTGCATGTGGATTATTAGCAATCATCAAAACTCAATCTGTGCTGTATTTCCTTAAAGTAAGGTGGGACTTTCATCCCACCGGTTCATTCCTTCAGAGTTCTGAAAAATGTTGACTAAATCAGCTTTTGTTCTTCTTTGCTATTCTAAAATGACTCTAGTCCTTGACAGATGGCTCCTATGAAAGGGTCTGGAATAGTTACACTGACAGAATTTGCACATACCTTGCCTAAGAATAATTTCATTTTTTTCCTCATTGGCAAGATGGAAATGATAGAGGGCTATGACATAATGAATGGATCGGGAAGCTGTACAGCACACCTGTATCCCCGTATCAAGTCTTCCAGCTTCTCCTCATTTAATGTTTGACTGATAACATTAGCCTTCCAGTAATCCTGTTTCCCTGTCTATTAGAAGGAAATACATGTTTCCCTTGATGGCACTGTCAGAAGCATCATCTGGCCATATCAAAGAACAATTGTTCTTAATTCGCTAACACAGAATACGCACTGCGGTCCTGTTCAGACGGATCAGCAGGTCCACTTTTTGAAAAATGGCCAGTGGGTGTGAGGGCGAGGCAAGCTTCGCTAAACTGCTGGGGCAGCACTGGTGAATCAATAATCTGCATTGTTTATTGTCATGTCACCAATAGAGACCAGAGTTAGTTTTACCTCTCGATGGATTGTGAATAGCTTTTTTTTTGTTTTTTTTTAATCTTAATTTCATTGTAGGATGTTGCATTGAGCAACTTTGACTCAGTGCCATTGTTATTATGGTACTCGAAGAAAAGCAGAATTTCTGTTACAGACTTGCTGAACTGTAAAGTTGTCTCTCCCCTGAGTTTAGCTCTCTTACAATATGAAGCAGTTAAAGCACGAGTAAGAGTATAACCTTCATGTATAATGTGAAAATAGTTTGTGATTCAGGTTAGTACCCTTATTCTAATAAAGGCTGTAGCATGACAGTGAATTTTTTTTCATATTTCCTCTTCAGTTTTTAAATTTCAGCTTGGACTTTTTTTTTTTTGTGCTTGAGCATGTTGCAGCCGTTGCATATTTCTCCAGCTTGAGCTTTTCTCTTTGACCGAGTAAAAGGTCTGTGCCGAGAAGATAAGTGCACTGTAGAAAACCTTCCAGTAGGTGGCAACAACTGATTAGTTATAGCTTGTTTCTTGGGTCTTGACGTCAACGAATTCATTTATTGAGCCATCGTTTGCTGCTCCATAGTTAAAAACAAACTGTGTTTTCTACTCAGGTCGAAGATGTGGCATGTTTGCTACATAAGAATATTACGGCATTATTTTTTCAGGTTAGCATGTTCCTTCATAATAAATTTATAAACACAAAGTTAAGTATTTTACATAGTAATATACCTTAAATTTACATTACAGTGAAAATTGGTAGGTTTTTTTAATAGTAAATTGACCATGTGATTGAGCTGCTATTAAATTAATTTGTTTCTGCGTATACATATTTTGTAAAAACTTTATTTCAATAAAACATACATACATTTAAAGTAGATTTCTTAAGCAATGAAATTGTCTTAACCTTGAGTAACTTTGAGCACAGCTACCAACATAACATCTGAAACTTATGAAGCTGATTTTGTGATATATGTTCGTGGTTATAAATGCCGTCAAGAAACAGAATTGCAGCTAGGGATCAGTGAGCAGTTAGAAAATTATATGCGTGTTAATATGTAAATATGGAAATCTAGTTTGATGGGTTCAGCACTTCTGGCTTGGTGGTAATTAAGCTACACAAAGTTTGTAGGTCACTTCCCAGTTTAGCAGCATTACAAAATAAAATACGTTGTCGTTAGACATCTTGTATAGTTCTTGTTCTGCTTTAAGCCTGCGAAGGCTGCAGCATCTTAGCAGTCTCTTGGCTTCAACAAACTCGATTATTTGAATGTATTTTCAAAAGTAAGGTTTTGGTAATCCACCTCTTCAGCCTCTGGCTACCATTTAGTTGAGGACACATTAATGTCACTTCTAGGCTGTAGTTCTGTTTCAGTAATGAATTGCTCATCCTTGATATATCCCAGATTGCACTGATGGAGAACGTGCGAGGATGTGGAAATAGGGTATTGTGTACAAGCTCCTTGTTGCCATTTCTTCTGTGACTAGCTGCTGACCTGTTTTAGTATGGTTATTAAAATGAGTTGGGTACACAATATGTGTGTGTCTGTTTTTTGTTCTGAAACCTAAAAAAATCTCTAACTCTTTTTCAGCCAGAAAACCTTGCACAGAAGCTTCCAAACCTCGTGGAATTGTGAGTTTGTGTAGGAGTTCTAATATATTTTCATTATGCTGATCCATCTTATCTTATAATAATTCTGGAATGTATTACTTGCACATAACCTGCCTCTTAAGTATGAAGGGTTTTCTTGGAGGGCAAGAAAGGGTCATTTTTTGTTGTGGTTTTGGGTTTGTTTGTTTGTTTTTTTTTAAAGGAGGTATATCCAGATGTATTCAGTCCCATGTTAATATTTTCAATAATTTCTCATTTATTGTGTAATGAGAACTGTTAAACAAATATCTGCACTGCTAAGTGAAGAAATACTTACTCCCCAACTCCTGTGTAGACTCTTGTCATCCTGATAAAGCACTGGAACCTCCAGATGCCATGGTCAGATGGTTGTGACAGCCAGAGTAACAGGTTACTGCTTCCAGCCCATCCCTAGTTGCTCATTTCTACCCCAGCTACCACAGTTACTGTGATCTCAGTCTTGCTGACTGTAGTAAAGTTTTTTCAGAACCACCTCACAGATTGTCAAATAGGAGCAGTAATGAGCAAGCAGGAGTAGTAACTAATGATGATTGCTGTAGGCCAAATATTTCATCCAATCTTGTCCAAAGAATGGATGTCACATGAACTGCATTATTTTGACAATTAATTTTAAGCTATAAGCACCTGAGTCAATGTGGTTTTTTTCCCCTCCCCTTTTCTTCTTGTGAGGGTACGATTTACTTGTATGGTAGGATTGGCAGCAGCGGCAGGGGGGTTAAAAGGGACATCCTCATTTCCCCTTTTATCTCATTTGGCTCACTTTCACTTGCGTAACTGATGGACCACTGATTCTGTCTATTTAATGGAAAGCTCCGAACAGGAGGAGGTGTATATCTGAGTAGTCTAATGCAGTCAGCTCTCTGATCTTGTCATCTTAATTTGGCCCTTGAAACCACACCTTTCTGGTACACGCAACCACAGTATAATTGAACTGTTTTGTAGGTCACTGCAGTCTCAAACTTGCTTAAAAGACAGTCTTGTCTCATCATGCCTGAGTCTTGAGAGTATGTTTATGCTCCGAAGCAATAAAATAAATATTTTTGTATTTGGTACACTTAGTATTTAATGATTTGCCATGGGGCATCAGGAAATCTCCATGTTATCTGATGGTGCCTTTAGGAAAACCTGTATAAATTACAGCTTAAAATAATCTCTTACAAACAATGAATTGTAGGAGTCAAACCTAATTATTTGGGGTTCAGCAAGCTTAGTTGTACCATTATCCCACACATTCTGGTGGTCTATAGAGAACTGCAGTGGGCCTGTGGTTTGTGTAGCTTGAATAGTACGAGGCATTTTTTGATCAGACAGTAAGAGATCTGTTGTTGACAGAGAAGAGACCACAAAATAAAGATTTATTTAACGAATTAATTTGTTACAGTAGCTTTAAATTTTGAAAGACAAACTTAACTGAGTTTCATTTTCCTGAAAGTTATTACATCTTTAGCAATTTCACTATATATTTTTAAAATTTTCAGTATTGTCTTTCTTCGTATATCATGTCCCACATTCTGGGATGCTAGGTATAGATCCCCAGAATGCAAGTTTTCTTAGCTTAAGTGAAATAGTTCACAAGTATTTTCAGGAGCTGCAGCTGTAATGAGTAAAGCAATTCTCATCCTGAGGTTATATATAAGGATTTCTACAAACATATCTGCTATCCTTGTATTTGTTAGGTTTTTAGTAAACTTTAGATATCTGCAATTTTTAAAGAAAAGGAGAAGGCTCAAATGCTCCATGCAGTTGAAATGTTCATTTGTCTTTTCCCTTCTTCTGCCTCTCTCTCCCTGAAAAGACGGGTTCCTACTTAGGAAATGCTGTTTGAATAGAATGGAAAAAAATATGCTGTGGAAATAATTTCCATGGGTGCCTAAGCAATTGGACATTGAGTACTCATTATTCCTTAACAATTAGGTACCAATATTTGAAAATATTGTTATTTTCTACAAGACCCTTTCGTTCATTTGCTGCAATGTTGGCTGAAAACTAAAATGTGGAAAATCTAAGAACATTTTTTGTGTTACTAGTAGTACTGGAAGTGCTTCAGCAGAGGGTGCTGAATATTCTTAGTGAAAGTCTGGCTGCCCTCAGTAACTACCTAAATGACCATGAGTAAGGTTGGGTTTTTCTGTTGAAAAAGGTACTGTAGGTTTGAACCCACTTGCAGTGAGTAGATCATGTGCTTTTTTCTTCAGTCGGTAAAGGGGTAAGAGTTTATGTGCAGGGGAAAATGTTCATAATTGTATAACTTGAGTGGCTTTGGGCTTTGTTTTCTTTTTTTTTCCTCAGCATTTAGTGCAGAATAACCCGGTGATCAAATATGGTTCATTGTGGTTATTCTATCTGCTGTATTCTTCTTCCTTTTTTTTTCCCTTATGACTCTCAAAACTAAAGCCCATTATTATTGTAACTATGAATGTTTTGTTTTAAATAATTGTATATAATTCTCTTTTATTTTTACGTTAATCATTTAATAGTCTAAGTGAAACTTAAGTACCTATCCATTGCCAGTTTATGCCGTTTCTACAGCTTTTGTGGTCATAGAGAGGAATGGCTTTGAGGGTGCTCTTTCAGTCTGAAATTGGATATTTTGCAAACTGATTATGTAGCAGAAGTCCTTGAGGGTAACAGGTGGTATCCTCTGCTTTTTTCTCCTCCCCCCAGGTACCTTCATTCAAATAACATAGTTGTTGTACCTGAAGGTAAGTAATCTACCAGCTCATAATAAGTGGCAGGAATCATAAAATATTCATTTTTCTTCTTTGAAGAGGCCTATTTTTTTCTTGTATTTTCCCGTAAAACATTAAAGATTTCAATACAAAATATACCAGTGTAGCTCCTCTTAGTTGATAAAATCCTTGTTTATGCTATGTTAAAATTCTTTTAATGAATTCTCATATGCACCTAAATGCTGTTTGCTTCAGTTCTAATTGCAGAAAGAGAAAAGGCTAAATGGCACTCATCTGAGAAACAAAAATCTGGAGTGTCTCCTGCTTTCAGCCAGTTACCACACAGAATACTCTGTTGGTTTAGATCGTGACAGATTTGAAACCTAAAGTATCAAGAACTTGGACTAGTTTCTCTTCCTTGTCTTACTTGTAGAGTTATGTGCCCAACTTCAGGAAAGTGCTTTAAACTCTTTCTGAATATATAAATTGGGTAGACTCGAAGCAAAGGAATGAAAAATGTGTTTTCAGAGCAGAATTGTCTGAGGAGAATCTAGAAATGGGAGTATTCTGTACATCACTTTGTTTTTTTTCCTCCTTGTTTCACTGACAGCAATGCTGTTTGTTAGATAGATAAGCATGTCCACAAATTATGTCATTCAGATGTGAGACCGGCTTTAATATGTCAAAATGTGCTCAGACATAGGTGTTAGGTACTGTGGCTTTTTATCCTCTCATAGTCCTATTAAGATTTTAACATTACTGTTGGGTCACATTCGTGTTTTAATCTGTTCTCTCACAAGCCATTGGCTCCCTCGTTAAACTGCAGTTTCTGGACCTAAGTGATAATGCCCTCGAAATTGTGTGTCCAGAGATTGGCCGCCTGAGATCTTTACGTCATCTCCGCTTGGCTAACAACCAGCTGAAATACTTACCTGCAGGTAAGTACAAATGCGTGAGGGATTACAGCAATGACAAATTGTATTTGAACTTAATTTGCATAATGATCTGCTCTAGGTGTATTCGTATCTTACAGGTGAAGCGTGGTACAGCTTGCATTTAAAGACTAGGCGGGGATTGCCATTGTATGTACTAAATGTACTCTGTAGTTAGGAAAAAGCCATGCTATATGTACTTGAGGTAAAGAGAAGTCCTGAAAAATGCTTCTGAAGTGGGAAAAAATTGATCTATTTAACAGTCTTTGCCATAGTAGCAAGAAAATACTGAACTTCCTTGAGAAGACACAAAATGCTAATGACAACTGTCATTATATTTCTTCTGATTTTCTGGAATATAAAGGATTCCAGTCCTTCCTTCCTTTCTTTTCGCCCAACAGCCCCGTTCTTGTATTTTTCTACAAAGACACATGTCTAGTAGGTTTGCCTGTGGCAGTTCTGCCTCACTGTGACAGTAAATAACAAGTGTTTGTCTTAGTAGTTTATGATAAAAAAGCAAAATTTATTCAAAGTAAATGTGACACAAAGTCAGAAAAAGTTGGCCACAGGCAGATTTTGAATGATTTTTTTTTTTTTCCTTCTAAATACTTTGATAAGCAGACATAACTGATTTTTATTCTTCCATCACCCTTACATCTTTCCAGATAAGATGAAAATATTTATTTTATTTTATTTTTTCCTCTTTCTGGCATACTTGCATTTTCTGATCTGCAGAGATGATAAAGATCTAAGGTCAGCATTTAAAAAACTGGTCCAACTTAAACTAACAGGTTTAGATTTGGGCTCTAATTTTAACTACGTTCTCAATGTGACCTTCATGTGTTTGTAAGTTCACATTGCTTATTCTCAAGAAATATATTGCAATAGCTTCTTAAAGTTTTGGTTGCAGAAATCTAGCTGTCCTTTCCTTGTACTTTTCTAGGCATAATAAGCTTAGTAAGAACAAGTCAAAGGATGATTATGATTAGAAAGAAAAAAAATTTATAGGACTATGTAAATGCTCTGGAATGAAATTAGATAAACCTGTTAAACATTATGACCCAAGGCCAATAAAATTTCCATCAATTTTCAGATGTCCTACATTCAAAAGAAAGGAGTGACTTGAGTGTGCTTTATGTTCCTCAAAGATAATTTACCTTATGGTGCTGTACCATGAAAGAAAGACTAGTTCAAAGAAAAAGTGACACATTTTCTGCAAAACTTCACACATTAACTTAAAAAGATTCCAAAAAAGACTTTCAAAAGGATAATTTACATTACTGAAGAGTTGATTTCAAGTCTACCACATTTGATTAGGAACTGGTATCAGCTGCATAGGCACACGGCATTTAATTCCTCCTGAAGTTTACAAAATTTGATACTGAGCATTGTCCCTAAGTGCGTTTGGTTTTGTGTGCATGAAAATTTTGCATGCTTAGAAATAATACTCCTGTTGCCTACTGTTGGAGAATCCAGTGGTGTCTGGTCTTTCTGGTTTTGCTGGTAGTGTACCCTCGGTTTATGCACATGCCATTACTGCTATCATTACTAATCCCGTCTGTTCGGTTGCTGTCAGTATCAACATGACTGGATGTCATACAGCTTGAGTGTTACCAGTCCGAGCAAGATTAGTCTTTCACTTACACTGGAGAGTTTGACCACTGCGGAGTTAATCTACTGCATTGAGTGTTTCCTAAATGTAACACTTCCTGAAGAGGGCTTCCAAGCATATTTTCATAGTTTTTCATCATAAAATTGCCAAGATTTCAAAGGTGACTTCATAACAAAATCTTTGTGTTTGGAAATAACATTTATGTTCAACAAGTGAAAAAATACAGCAAAATAAGTTTTGATAAATTGTTTTATCCTTAATAATATTGGTAGCATCAATCTTCATAATAGAGTTAAATAGAGTTCTGTCAGGAAAGCCAGCGAAGTTATTAAAATGAACTAGGAGGAGATGTGATTTCACTGCAGTACATCATTTCACTGTGTGTTAACTGCTTTCTTTACAGCCGGTACTGCCTTGCAATGCATTGTTAGGGAAAGACAGCTCTTACTTGCTCTCAATTTATAATAAGTAACCATTTAGAATATAATTTAGCTTCTAGTGTAGCTCGTGCAGAATTTAAAGATCTGCAGTAAACGATAGCTTTCAGGTATAGGTGATAGTCATTTATGGAAGTAACTTTTTAAAACTTGTGACCATCGTTTTCTTCCAGACGTAGTCCTGCACATACCACGCAAATGTCAGTGAACTGTTTATCACAGCAGAGGATCCACTTAAGAAAGGCTGATCAGTATTCACCTTGTGTAATGAGATAGGCCAACTTGCAGCATAATGATGTCATCACATAAAAAGCTTACTTTAGAGTTGTTGCCCTGTCATTTCTCTTGTCTCTACCTTCCCAGTGTCTGGTATGATAAGTACCCACAGTTTTTGTTGAAACTTCATGGACTATCTAGGAGCATACTCTTAGTAATATCCTTAATCAATTGCTAAAAAATGTCTTCATTACAGCAGCGGAACAGTTGGATGGTAAATGTTTGCCATTAAGTGTCTGAACACCCACACTTTTATATTGCATTTTATGTTTTAAGAATTATTCTCTGTTGCGTCTTCCTTAACTGTGATTAAGAACTGAAAGAAACAATGCCGTTAATTGCATATGGTGATTCATTATCCTTTTGTAATGTTTTTGTTCCAGAGTTGTGCTCTTAATGTTAATTTTTAGTATTTAAGATTTGCCTTATAGAAATGTAGCATAACTCTGATTTTAAAACAATCGAATTAGTATGATAGTGAAGCCCTATAAAGTTTCATGTCTTCAGTCTGATTGTAGACATTCTTTAGACTCTAATAAAGGTTGAGCTTATGCTGTGGTTTATCTTCAATGTGATGGGCAAGATTTTAGTCTCTAAGTACGTGTTTTCATAAAACTTGTGAGAATGTAGTAATTTCCTCTGGTCTCGTCATGATTGTCCAACGAGTTTTAACTTCAAGGGAGGAAGTGGGGGAGAATGATGAAAATACATGCAGAGAGCATGAATACGTAAGCCTTAGTTTCCTGAAGAAATCAGGCAATACAGGACTGATGAGGGGAAAAAGGGTATTTGGTGAAGCATGGAAATTGTGTTCCTTGGAGATTAGAAGGCACTTCCTTTGCTGTGGCACTCTTGTAGTGCGAATGATAATCCTACCTTTGTGCTTAGCAAACACTACCAAATCAGTGTCACCCATGGATAAGATCATGTACTTTGGCTGCAAGGCACTTGGTTTAATTGTGCACTACCACTGAAATAGTGGGACTTCCATCACGCATCATTAAATTGTTGAAAGAAGACTAAGCTAAAGTTGATGAGAAGTAAAGGGAAAATTTGTCCAGAATAAGCATGTTGAAATTGAAATATAATATAAAAAGGCTGGAAGAAAATGCTTTGTGAAATTCTCTTGAAGTCATGTTTTGATTATCTTTGGGTAAGGTTAATAAATGGACCAACTTCTGCCTCATGCAGTCATCAGTATCTAGATTCTGTGGCAATCAGAATCGTTAACTGAGACTGTCTTTGAGAGGAGAGCTGATTAAAAGAGATGCAGATAAGAAGGTGAAATTTAATATTATATAAAGTTCTCTTGAGCGCTTTTTTCATTGAAATGCCCAACGTTTTTTTGTTCTGCAAACTGTAAATCTTGTAGCTTCTGACTTTAACAATTCTTAGTTCTTTTATTTGGCTCTGATATATATCCTTGAACTTGCGGTAACGTTTTGTGACGTTTTCTACTATTTAACTGTAGCATTTAAATAATCTAAATTCTTGAGGGCCATTTGGAAATAGTAATACCAGAGATCTTATTTGGAAAAATCATAAGAGTTGCAGCATAAACAGAAGATGGTTATTATTTCATACTATTACATTAGTTCATGTATAAGCTTGACTTAGAGTTAACATTATATTTTCATAGCAGCTTAACTTTATTTTTTTTAGATTTCTCTTTTTTTCAGAGAATTGATGTCATCTTAATTTAGATTTGTAGAGTTAGTCCTATATGAATGTGCTGTCAGAAGTAAATTTTCTGAATCTTCTCACTTACGAATGACTAATTAGAAAGTTCCCCTTTGTTTCTGATGTTTTTCATGCATATGACATTTCAGCTCCTTTCATTCTTGAGAAATTACATTTATTTTCTTTTTCTGTAAGAATTATTGCATCATTTGCCAAAAAAAAAAGATCTCCAGTGAGATATACTGGAAAAATTATTCTTCAAGAGTCCCAAAGCGAAGGTTATCTCTGTTTTGCTTTGTGTTACCATTTAGATTTGATTTGACTTTAGCCTTGGAAACTTTTGATGTGAAGTGATGGCTCTTCAGGTTGACGTTTTAGTCTTGTAGTTAGCGAATGCACGTTTGGACAACAGATGACTTAAAAGAGGGTGGGTTATGCTCAAAATTGGACTTAAGTTTCGTTTTTGACAAGGATTAGATTTTTTTTATTACATATTACTTGAGATTCTTCTCCTTAGAAATGGCAAGTTGCAGCATCTCGTTCTAAGATTTAATTAAAAATGAGGTTATGTTTACTCAGCACATGCTGGAGTTAATTATAGATTTACTAAAATGAAAAGCTTAATGTTTTGCCAAGTCAAGAGCAAAAGCTAAGTAATTAAACAAAGAATAGGGTATGGTTTATGATCCCAGCCCATCTTTTGGCAGAGTTCCTTTAAGAAGGAAAAAAAAATAAATCAGCAATTGTCTTTACATGGGCTAGACCAAGTTTCCCTTTGTGTTTGTGGTCAAGGAACTTCAAAAACCAAGAGCTGAGTGCATTGATCAGGGGAAAAAAAAAAGAAAAGGCAGTCAAATAATACCAAACTTCACGTAAACTGTGCAATACTGTTTCTTTAATCTGTAAAGTGAAAGTGCAGGTGACTGGGGAGTACCAGCAGTTGCTGCTGCTGAAGGGGGGTACAGATCTCTGCAAGAGTCAAAGGCAGGTTTAGCAAATGT